CCTTACTCCATTGAGTTTTTAATTCTGTTTTTAATAAATACGTTTACAAAACAAAAAAATAAAAAGAAAAAATATGCATTAATTTTTTGGGTAATATGATTAATTTTTAGACAACAATTATATTTAAAAAAGGGTATTTTGGTCCAACAGGTATAACTTAACAATCAACTAATGTTAGTTAGATAAAAATGAAAACTTAAAATTGTAACATACCAAATTTTTTTTTTAAATAATTTAACTCAACCATAGTTGGGTTACAGCCACCCAACACATTCTTATATCAATAATTTTAATATAAAATATTTTATAATTAACTTCAACTTTCACGCTATAACATTTCAGATAAATTTTTACCTCCTACATGCCATTAGGCTAAATCACATTTATCCATCCTTATACTCCCAACAAGTAAACTAAATCATATTTGTCCATCCTTATACTCCCAACAAGTAAAATAAGCAATTTAGCCAATTTTCAACACAAGCCAATTATTTAGCCTTATAATCATGCCATTTTAACCAATCCAAAGTAAACCAAATATTAAAATTACAATCATTCAAATTGTACCAAAAATAGAAATAGTTTGAAAGGCATGATTACATTTATATATTCATATAATTGACAATAAATAAAAAGCCCTAATATTGGCAATATAACACATTATAAATCATAAATTAAATACCCAAAAGAGACAGTGGATCTATACCACTAAGCCTCTGGGACTCCTCCACATGTCACTCGTGGCTCTTCTCTTGAAAATTGTTAACCACATAATGAGACTTAAAAGTCCCAGTAACCAAAGCCAATTTATGATAGTGTATACAAATAGTTAAGTGTGTGCTTACTAAGTGAGAATTAAAAATAATATAATTCTAACAAATATAAGAAATATTACAATACACAAAATAACCATCCTTATATCCCTCCATTAACCTCGAGCCGTAACCCTCACTCGGTGCTAAATTACCTAACCAAAGGTAGATTAGCCCAAGCCCTTACAAGCCACCTATTGAGCTCCAATAAGGACGTACCACGTGGCACAAAAATACAACAACAATAGCAAGTCTCCTAACACTTCCCACAATAATCAAATAAATTCATAATAATATTGCACAATTATATAATATTACAAAATTTATAATTTTCTCAATAATCACCCAATTAACATGAAGTAACACAAATCACAAATTAAAAGCATGGTTACCTTGTGGCTTTTTCAATAAATTATTCCTTAAAATTTCTCTCTCACCGCAATCTTCACCAGTAATACAATCTACAAATAACATATTATTTATAAATATTAGTTTCAATTTTTGAAACTAATAAAATAATTCTAATAATAGAATTAAAAATATAACATAATTCCTAATCTCAATCTTAATACAAATCTATAGTTAATACTATTAAGTAAAATTTTTAATTCCTCTTTTAATTATCAATAAATATTAATAATCTAAAAATCAACTTCTAAACTAATTTCTATTATCAAAATTTTCTTTTTATTTCATAAATTCATACCTAAAATACCCAAAAATTAAAAATTGAGTCTCTAGCTTAGAATCATAATCCTATAAGCATAATAATTCATTTCTCATCCCAAATAATCATCTAAACCTCAATAAATCAATATATATTTTCAGATCTAGTTTAGAATTTGATCCATAAGCCATAAATTCAAAGATCATCAATAAATTTATACTCTAGAACATTTATTATACTACTGACAACCTCAAAAACTATATGTATTTAATATAAATTCATCCCTCTTCCAGATTTTAAATTTTCTACCACTACAAACTCAGAAACCAAAGAAGAAGGATGATTAAGAAAAATTTTTAGAACACTTACTTAGTCTTGAAAAACTTAAAATCACACCCTAAATATCCTATTAAAAACTCTTACCTTAAAAATTTAGATATTTCGCACCGGTGACTCGCGTTCTCTCTGGCTCAGCTCGCACGAAGGAATGAATGAAGAAACGAAAGAACAGGTGAGTTTTCATAAAAATTCAGTGAGTCCCACACATTTTTTTTATTATTTCTTCTTTTCTCTCTCTCCTTCTTTTTATTATTATTATTATATACATAATGATTATTGTGCGGCGGCCAAAAGCAATTTTGTTCTTCTTCTTCTTCCCCTCCTTTTTTTAATACCTTTTCCCTTTTTTATTATAATAATAATTTAATAATATTTTTTTATTTTTTAATTATTTTTTTTAATTTTTTTTAAATTTTTTTTAGAATTATATCCTAAGTTAGATTTAATAATCATCTCTTACTAATTTTTTTACCTCTAAATATTATTTTTTTTAATTTTTATTAACCCAAATTAACTATTAAAATTTAAATTGGGATGTTACAAAAATTATCGGAGGATGTTTATATTTTGTAAATATTCATACTAGGAGAAGTTCGTATATGTTTTGAAAATAAAAAGGATGTATCTATAATTAAGGTAAAATAAAGGAGGGGTCAAAGTATTTTATCCCTAACTACGTTATGTTATTAATAGAGTTTGCCTCAAATATTATTAATTAATAAATAACATGTAAGGGGCTCAAAGAAACAAAAATAATGGTTAAGAAGGTTAATTTTAAATGTTTAAAGGTATGGAAGGGTCATGTATAACCCTCTCAAAATTTAGATAGGCTTTATACATTTTAGCCTATTAAATATATATATTAGAGTAAAACAAATAATAAAAACTAAAAACATATTGTGGATATAACTAGAAGTAGATTAATAAAAAAATATAATTTTTTAAATCAAGTTACCAAATATTTTCTTATAAACCACAATAGAAGTTCTATTTGTGAAGTGATCATGTCAATCAAGAAATAATATTTTTAAACATTTCCCATTTAAAACACACAAAAAATACTGTACAATTGGCTGTGGTTGAAAACAAGATGAAGTAGATATAAACTAATATGACATATGTTGAGGCCTTAACTTTTATTAGTAGTCATTATAAAAGTTAATATAATAAGAAATTGCCTTTTTCTCATAGTAAGTGGCAATTTAGAATTAGATCAACATATAGCAATTCAATATATACATATTTTCATTCATGCATTTGGTAAATAAAATATAAAAGAATAAATATACCTATAAATGTTGCGTTTAGATCATAAATAAAATAAGTATATAATCAGAAAAGCATCAATAGAGGCTGCACTGAATTTTAAAATGGATATATACAACAAAATAAAATTTTCTTTTTTAAAGGCACCTATGTTTTAAAATAGATAGAGTATATCTCTTAACTATGTTAAGAAATTTATCCTTATTTAAAGACTTAAGGTACTCACATCTAAATTAGTCAGTACTACTAGTACTAAATATTTGTTACAGAAAAAAATATTTAAAAGAATTTAAATGCGAAGTTAAAGTGAATGAGAGAGATGGAGAGAGAAATAGACTCAACTTTACAAGGGTTCTACACAAATGGAGCTCATTCCTATCTTATTATTTCTTTCTAACTTGAGCCGTATTTATTTTAAATTAAAGTATAGATTCTTTCCCAACAAGTATATGAACTAATAATCAAGTTTCTTAAGGACAAAACCAATGCACTCTCATACACTTGCCTTCAAAATTCCCCATGTTATGATGACATGTTTAGCTTTACCTGTTTGTTTTAGCTTTTTTAATGAGAAAATTATTTTTTAAAAAATATATTTTGTGAATTTTTATTATGTTTATTTAAAATTTTTAAAATGATCAAAATATGGGAAAAAAGCAAATACTTACTTCGTTCAAAAATGTAAGACATTTTTAAATGAATTTCACCCCCAATAAAGTAGTTACCTACTTTTAAACTAATCTTATTTTTTTTATATTTACCCCTATTAAACATTCTACAATAAATATAAAATTATTATTAAGGATACTTTAAAAAAAAAGGCAATGATCACATCTCAAAAGACTAAAAATATTTTATATTTTTGAATACTTAACTCCTCAAAAATACCTTATATATTTAAATGGAGGGAGTATATGATTATTTTTATAAGTTACCTTAAGTGGCTTTTGAAAACAATTTGATATGATAGATGAGAAAGAATATTTTAAAAATATAAGATTTAAGAATATATCATAAAATTTTAAAACAATTAACTAATAATTTTTGCAAAGCAGAAATCAAGAAAGGAATCATAAAATTTAAAATAACTAATTAAATAATTATTTTTATTATTGTGAATAAATATAAAACAATATCTTATTTTTATAAAATCACTTAAATAATTTTTTTTCATAGAATTTCTAAACTATCCAAAAGTTAACTATTTTTTAATCTTAAACAAACCTCCTTTTATCACCAATCCATCCAATTACTCCATGATTGTTTGGCGGCTTTTTCAAGATGATATGAACTTCGTTTTTTTTTTTTAACTTTTTAGAGCTAAACAATGTTAAGTGTGGAGTTCATGGTTAGATTATTGAGTTGTAAAAGAAAATACAGTGTCGTGATATGGCTGGAGTTTTGGAATTTGGATAATAAGCATGAGGGTAAGTATGTTATTCTTCCTAATTAGCACATGGATGGTCAAGAATTTTAGTTTCTCTAACTTGTTATTAGTTAAAAATTGAGTGTAAAAATAAAACAAAACGCATTCATGAATTTAAAATAATATTTAGGAAAAAAATTCATGGTTAAAATTTTTAATTCATAATTATAATTTTTATTTCAATATTTAAAATTTATTTATGAAAACCAGACAATTTGCTTCACTAACGGCCAACAATTCCTTGATCTTACGTCACATCAAAGAGAACCGATTATTTTGGAATCTAGACCAATCAAGTGCCATGCATGTTTTTGTCATACGTGGCGTCATCTGATTAGTCAATGTGAAGAAAACAACGGGCGCAGCTAGTGCCAGATCGTGCCTCCACGACTGCAACGGAGACGTACGCAAATGAAGATATGGCGCGAAACGAAGATACAGAGTAGTTCGTTACACATGGAAATCGGATTTTGGGACACGGCGATAATGTCGCAAGACCTTTCGGCATCACATTCCCAATAAAACCCTACTTTCTCATTTGAAATTAGTTTTTAAAAAAAAAAAAAAACTTGTTTTGCGCTGTTGGAATCGAAACTGAGAGTCGAAGAATTCTGGGCAACAAATCATAAACTTCAAGAAGGATCCTCAATCAAAATCGGTTCCTCAGATAGTTCACTCCATAAGGTCCATTAATTTTTCTTTTGTTTTGTGTTCATGAATAAATGGTTTTTACGACTTTCTAATGTTTTTATCTAAGATTTTCAATCCCTTTCCAGTTTCCACGATTTCTTATTATTCATATTTTTGTAGAAATGTGGGATAAAGGAACTGCTGATTGAACGGTGCCTCTTCCGGCGACTGGAATTTCAGCATCCTGACGTAATCAGTAAGTTATTCCGATAATATGGTCATATTCTTTTCATTGTTCTTGTTTGCTCCGTACGCAAGGAAAATATTCCCATGATCGATGAATGAATATGATATCTCGGGTTGGAATAAAGAAATTAGACATTCCCTTAGGGGCATCAACAATGGGAGAAAGTAAATTAAACGAGGATAACAATGATATCGTCAATATGATGGCATTTTTCGTTCTTGCATTCAATTGAACTCTGAAATCTGCATAAAGTGATGAATTTTTAAGGTCATTATTGCTTATGTGTACTTTAACGCCCGACGATGGGTAGCTCGTAGCTGAGTGGGTCTACCTGAGAAATACTTCCAAATATTAGACTGATCTATATAAGGCAGAGCTTATTCTAAGAAATCAGGCACTAATGCAGGGTTTTATTGCAGGGAAAGGAAATAGCAAGCGTTTAGAAATGTATGCGGACACATTTAATCAGAGAAAAAATGATAAGCATGTAAAAACATGTCCAGAATCTCCTTCTTCTGGGAGTGGAAGCAGCAAACATTCCCACTCAAAACCTGAGGTAATTGATGGAATTAGAAGCAGTACAGGTTCAGAAGGACAAATAGATGTTATCGCTAGCAGTGAAAGAGCTTTGGAAGGTCATGAAAGCAATTGCCCTGAGACACATGCCAATGACACTGGAGGTATATGGGAGCCAGTCAGAAGGTCAGGTTCTTCCTCTTCATCAGAATCATCATTAAACGATGTCTTTGAAGTAGAGACGGTTGATTTTGAGTCTAAGACATCTAGACCTGCATCAAAAAATCAACAGAATAATGATATTTCCAGTCATAGCTCTTCCTCATCTGAAGGTGATGACAAAAACTCTCCAGTTCCCACCTCAACATGTGTACCACCACCAGTAAGCCCTCCAGTCCAAGTGATGGACCTGTCGGGAGGATATGATCCTAACAGGATTCCATCTTCAATATTTGCAAGAAATAATACATCTCCAATAGAATGGAGTACTGCTTCTAATGAATCATTGTTTAGCATTCACCTAGGGAACTATAGTTTCTCTCGAGATCATGCCTCTGCGTTCGATGATTTATACAAGTCTGGAGAATTGACAAAGTCTGGTGAGCTTCGTAGCCAACCCTCATTTGTTATACCAGAGGACATAGAATTAGACCATGAGAATGTTGATAAGGAAGACTTGCTAACAAATAACATGTTAGATGAAGCTTTTGAGTCAGAAAACAGGTCGAACGGAGAGAAAAACAAGGCAAAGAGTTCGCAACCAGATACAATTTGTAATTCTCGCAACGTCTCTGGTCGTTCCCATTGTAGTGGAACCAGTACGTGCTCTTTTGCTTTCCCAATGTGAGTCTATTTTTTCTATGTTCCGAACATTATTTGTGCTACTTTCTACATGTCAGAACAATGTTATAAATACTAGTTTACTGAGGCAGAAAACTTTGATGTGTTCTGTACAGAACTATTTATCTACTTCTATATTAATTATGTCTTGCACCTATCCTTGTCCTGTCACGGTTTACATTAGGTTTGCTCGTGAAGCCTCTGTTCACATGAAAACGTGTTAGATAGAATCCCAAAGATTTAATAAGGTCAATGAGAACTATACGTCTTTTACATTGCAGAAAAAAAAAATTATCCATGGCCATTGGTCTATCATTCGAATAGTAGAAGCAGGTTCTCCTACTATGAATAGCCAAGTTGTTACTATTACTACTAAAGGCCAACTTGTTACTAGTTTACTTGCAGCTGAGCATTTTGCGACAGTTAAAACTGCGACCATGAAAGATAGTAATACCATGCTTCTCTTAACCTATGAATGTTTTACTCTCTACTCATGCATCTAATTTAAGAATTAAGACACTTTCTAGTTATTCTATTCTTCTTCTGTTAACTCATGTCCATTTAATTTACTGTGTTTAGTCTAACTACTTTTATTATAAGTGTGTCCTTGTTATCTGTCTTGCTCCTTGAGCTTTTTTTTTTTTTTTTTATTTAGTGTTGCTGTCCGGAAATTCTCAGTAAGTCCTTTTAAATTCAGCTCAAGCTGTAGAAGCAAATCGGTATGACCTGTTTTGAAATTGTTGCAGTTTGATAGAAGCGGACAGATTCAGCGCCCACAAGGCAGACGTTTCCCCACGGCATTCAGAAAAAGAACCCTATGTTCCCCCAAAAGAAGATGCATCTGAACTAGCATCACGCTCTACTGCCAAGCGTTGGAACTGGTTATGGTGCTTCTCTTGGTCCTCTTGTTGGACACGGGGCAAGTGTTGTAGTTGTCGTTGTTAAGGTTATGTATTATGGGATACCCAAGCCTTATTTGGCATAGCTATTAGCTTACAGGTATGATCAGATATCAATTCGCATATTATGAGGATATTTTACGACTCGTCTTAAGATTCAAGAGCTTCTCATTTGTGGATTCTTCTGTTCTATGTCTCTGACGTCTGGAAATCCGTGTTTCCTAGGAGAGCTTCGTTTTTGGGGGTCATGGCAGCTTAGGATCTCTGATCTCGAGTAAATTTGAGGAAATTGTAAATAACTTTTTTTTTTATCATCTGTGGCAATTAGCACCCCCATAAGTAAATATTAGTTTTCTGACTTTTTTTTTTTTTTTTGGTGCTGTAAACGAGTAGCCGAGCAAGTAAAATTTTGAACATAATAACCTATGTTGAAAGTGAAATTAAATTACTGATATGCCACTCCAGCAATTTTAAAATTGCTTGCGTTAAATGTATCTAGAGTTGGGATATCTTGACTAGCAGGATTTCTTGCATATTTCTCCATCATCCTTAAAAACCAACATTGAAACTTCCGAGTGTATCCATAATATGATTCAGATTGTAGGTGCCTTTTGTGAAATAAAAAAAGAAAAGAGTAAAGGGAAAATCATCATCAACAGGCAAAGATCCCAAAGTGATGAACCTCAGAATTCTCTTCAAGAAAGGCAAGGTTACATGTATAACATGTTTAAGATCTAAGAGCCTAACAAAATTTTGACACGAGAAAAGAGGCTACCTGATTAAAATAATTTACTCATCAAATGTGTCACACATTACAAATAAGGAGTAGAGGAAGGGTTTACAACAATGTGCCGAAGTGGGTGAGCGACATCACCACCACCAGCATGCCTCACAAACTCTGCTGGAGAAAGAAAGTTTCCATGGCATACACACATAATCCTCACTTCCTGCCCTCTACCATATCTGTACAAGATTCCCTCAATTCTCTTTCCATTAGGACCAGTCCCTTGCGTGAAAACACAAGGCATGTCTTCCATTGAATTTGACCCAATTTCCCTCCCCCTGTTTGGGCCATGATGAGGTTTTCTTGATAGATTCTCCACCTCACTTGGTGTTTTGGTCTCATTCTCATTTGACTTTGTCCCAGAGGAACCCTCAGCGTCCTGATTGCTTCTTTCCTGCAACAATTGATTACCAGCTGAGCTTCTTGCTTCACCACAATTACTTGATCCTGTGACACAGACCAGAGTGTATGAAGAAACAGAAGGATCTTATGTTGTCTTCAGCGTATTGTCCCCTTTATTACTATCGTTTTTAGTAAAGGATAAGTTATAGAAAGGTAGTGTTAGTCAGGGACTAGAAAGCTAGTGCAAAGCTAGCTTGCATGACATGAGTGTAGAAAATATGAAGCATGGTGGTATGTTAGCACCCAATTGCAAGGTATAGGACTAAGCCTCGCATTAGAAATATTGAGATTTTGACATGGGGTTTTTGGACAGTTGGCATTCCCGTCCTATTATGTGGTTCTCCCAATAGTTCCTATCTTGTAATAGTAAACTACCAAGTTCAAATAACTAAAAGAGGGTGTGAAAATAAATTGTCCAAGGTGAAACCTTACTCTAGACTCCATTCTTTCCTTCCTCTTCCCCCCGCCCCTCTTTCCCGTTACCCCAAACTTGATATTAAGCTTCGCTTAAGTCTCCATTCTAACATTCATCTCCACCCAAAGAAAAGAAAAAGAAATACAAAGCAAAGGCACCGAATCCAATAAAATTGGGCTTTCAACATGTAAGTGAAGCATTAGGAATGCGGGCTTCAACATATTACATCCTTCACTAATCACCACATCTAATTTTTAAAGCACATAATCTCAGAAAATAGATTCCAAAACATAGATTTTAGGACTTGACTTTTCCCATAGTAGTTTGAGTAATCTATCTACTTTTTAAACATATCAGACATAGATCAGTTTCTTCTCAACAATAACCTGAAGGTTCTTTACCATAATCAGACAGCCCAGGAATAATCTACACTTCACTGATACCATTTGTCGTTACATCAGTGGGTTGGCTGACCAAAGTGGCTATGCTAATATATTAACTCTCTGAGCCGCAGATGAAAACTACTATATTTTTATCGCGGTCCTATGGTGAATGAAGCTACTACCAAAATTTGAAGCAAACTCTGTTCAAAGAAAAATTTAATCCAATCCCGTAAGACAAAACTTTACTGCTCAAATAACCATGTGGGGGGAACCCAAAACAAAAAACAAAAAACAAAAATCAGTTAATCGAACTGTGACACACTAACTTGCCTGGATGAATGGAAGTGCATAGTCTGGCTCTCTGGCCCAGTCAGCAGTTCTGCCTTCCAGAAACCATCCCTCCCAGTTAAGTTAGCAAAGAATAAAAATGCTAAGGAAGGAAAGAAAAAAAAAAAAAAAGTAGTGCTGAATTACAGGTGCTCTAGCAATGCTCGGAGCTTGTACAAGCCAAATTATGCCACATAAAGTAGAGTAGTAGTGCTGAATTACAGATGCTCTAGCAATGCTCGGAGCTTGTACAAGCCAAATTATGCCACATAAAGTAGAGTGACAGTTTAACCAATTTGTAAAGCCGAACATCCAAGCCCACTTTAAAGGGCTAGAACAGCCAAAGATAAAATAAAATATGTCCATACTGTTCCTTTCCTGACACAGGCATCAAAATGTTTAACAATGAAAACTGTTAGCCCGCACAAGAAACATAAAATGTAGAAATAGCTCAATTCCATGACACTGTATTTTGTTTCAACAAAAAGCCATCACTCATCATCCGGGCTATAGACATATAGGAACTAAACTGTATAGTCCCCAGGTAAACAAGTCAAGAAATGGCAAAAATACAATTGGGTTTCTAATACTTCGCATTAGGTGAAATGAACCATGCTACTGATTTTCTCCAGAGTCCAGACGACTCAAAATTTCTGACATCCCAGAGCGCATAAATTTGGTTAACGCATTTTGGTGAGTCGCTAAGAAATCAAGTTGGATGGAATCCAAGATACACTCATGCAATGGCAATTCATGACAAATTAGCCATGAGAGAGCCAACAGTTTTCATGGATAGAATCCATCTTCATTTCATCTAATTCTAGCTTAGAGCTTCTATTAACAAGAAGCAAGACGCATGTGCAAGAGGATCACCTAAGGGAGCAAATAGAAGTGATCATCGTATCAAAGAGCAGAAGGAATCAGAGCTTCAAAATCATATTAATATAAAAAAAATGATGAAAATTGCAAATCTCCCCAATTTTTCAGTAATAATCTGTTTCAGCAAGCTGTTGTTTGAGTAGAACGTTTGTATAATAAGAATGATAGACTAAATGGAATTCTTCTTTCTTTATCAACTATGGATTGAAATCCATCACTAATTTAGCAGCTATTCCCAGTTCAAGGATGGAGAAGCATCGTCCACATCATCAGTAATCAGTAATGTGCACGTTAGCCCCCCTCCCCCAACAATAAAAAAAAGCAATTGCTAGTTATTAGTATAATAACTTTAGTTTGACACGACACGATCAGTGAAAAACACAGTTCTCAAATCTCACTACATATCTCCTCCACCTACAGTGATCGACCGGGGTCAGGTTCTTTAGAACTCAATAATCATTCACCTTGTTGATATGGAAAATTTGACAGGATGGCATCAGAATGAAATCTTTAGCTCTTTGCTTCATCAGCCTTGTTAGAAGCAAGTAGCAACCAATTCACATTTCCAAAAGAGGTACTTCGAAATAAGTACGTTATTTAGGAAACTTTTTTAGAATGATTGGAAGATAGAATTGAATTATCAGATGCATACAAACAGAATGCGTCCTCAATCCTCATCACGCAGTCAGATCACAGTCCCTCATTTACTTTTGAAGAGCATCGACACCGAACGAAAGCAAAATCCCAAAAACAAAACTCATAAATCAAGAAAACAAGTACATAGCAACCCAAAGAGAATTACCAACAGAATAAAACTTGAAGAACCAATTTACCTTGAAATGGTTTTCCCTCCATTTCTGGTATTCCTGGCGAGGAGCCTCCCCCATGGAAACCAGCAGTACCACCTAATAGCCCATGGGCTTTTCCTTGGGCCAACACATCACTAAGAACCACTTGCCTCGATGATGCCGAAGCCCACATAGGCAACCCAAAGGCCCAATCATTTCCCTTCGGACCCTCCAATTCAGTCCTTCCCTCACCACCGTCTCTCTCCGTCTTGGAATTCCTCTGCTTCTCAGACCGTCTTCTCTTAGCCTCCATTCGCCTCAACGTCTGCAACTCCTTCCTCTTCCTCCACTCCTCCTCCGTCTCCGTCGGAAGCGAAGAGGTCCTCAGAAGGGGTGGATACGACGGCGTCGGTGGGGTCGTGGACTCGTTCTCTCTGACGAGAGGCATTGTTCCGACGATAGACGATGATCGCCCTAGCTTCTTAGCGTGCTTGTCGACACCAAATCGACCCCCCAACGAAAGGCCAAGATTCAGCTCAATCTCCTCCGAACCAGCCTCAGGCTCTGCGTTGTCGGATTGTTGAGTATCGTCCCTGGACATGAATGTCCGGAGCAGATCCCTCGGGTATTTGTCTATTTGCAAAGATAGAGTCTCCATTGCTTTTCTCCTTGTCTCTTCGTTATCTTGGCTCATATTTCAGAAAACCAGAAACATGCAGGGCAATGAAGAGATGCAGTAGCAGTTCAGCTACTCATTCTGCAACAGTGCTCAGGAACAGCACAGAGAATCCATCAGAAACCCAGAGTCCCAACCCAATCCACAACAAGAGGCGATATCGACCACTTAGTGGGGGAGGAGGAGGGGAAGAGAAACTAGAAATCTACAACTCAATCAAAAACCCGAACAAAAACTGTTCAGGAAAAACTAGAAGCGATCCCAACAAAACTAGGGGAAAAAAAAACACCGATTTTTCAATTTCTTTTTCCACGGAAATAAAGGGAAGCAGCGCAAGCCAGAGCAGGCAGTACGTGACTCATTTTTAGAATTAGAAAACGGATCAACAAGGATTGGATTTAGTTGAAGGAATAATCTCACACAGCAAAATAAATCAAAGTTTAAATTTTTAATGAGAGAGGTGTTCATACCGCAAATAGAATTCACTACGAGAAAAATAACTATCAGTAGTAAAAAAGAATTGGAAAACGGCCAAAAAAAAAAGTGGGAGAAAAATGGAAATAGTGAGAACGAGAGGAAAGAGAAACGGTAAAAAAAAAAAAAAAATTGGAGCTCAGGCTTAATGTGCCATACAATTTTACCAACAGTTAAAAATTTTCAAAAATTTTAAAAGAAATTAAAATAATTTTCACAATACTTTATTTTCCCTCCAAAACATTGAGATTTAGTATTGAGTATTATATAAAAATAATTTCTTACCGTTATTCGATTTTGTTATTTGCCTTTTGAAACGCTGCTTAAGTAAGCGAAGTCTAGTGACCAGTCCAAATCCAAAAAGCAATAAAAAAAATAAAAAATACTTCCTCCTGTCATTTATTAATTACCTTCTAAAAAAATATTTAATTTTTATAAGTAACTTTGCATAATGAAAAGATGGATTACTAATCACTTTTCTAAAAACATTATATTTAATAAAAATAAATTAAAAAATTTGTTTATTTTTTAAATAATAACAATAATCTAACTAATCTTTTATTTTGATGAAATGATTAGAAGCTGCTTGTAAATCTACAGTTAGAAGATAGGGATGGAAGGAGAGAGGAGGGAATGAGAATTATGATATATATTGTATTCCGAAAATGCCCCTGTGAGTGGGGACAAGTAGCGAGGAGGAGAGGGGGTGGGACGCGAAACACGTGGTGTCTAAGTGACACGATTTTTCACTGCAAATTGTCTCTCATTGGGATCGCTGTCAACAAGTTGTCCTTGGGTTAACACGTGTCGCGAAAAGGATAAACGGGTGTGGTCGCCACGTGTCGGTCAGACATCGAGAATCGGAAAGCTGCCACGTAGCTTCAATGATTTCAACTGCTTGCTCTGTGCTCTCGCCAAGTCGCAATCGCCAATCCCTCGGTTTACTGGAAAAGATGCTCCATTTCTTTTATGTCATCATTTTCCAGATTTGGTCTAAATCTTCTCCGATCTCAATTCAGAAAATATTTTTTATTCTAATCGCTCCAATGATTTGGCAGCACCGGTTCACCTCGTTCACTTGTTCATTCATGGAATGTTGGCCCAAAAAAAAAAAATTGTTTATTCGTGGAATTATCATTATAATTACGCTATGTAAAAAGTTGTTCTTAGTTCTTATGTAACGATATCTTCATTTTTAAAATCGATTATATGAATTGCATTAAAGGTGCGTTTGGATTCCGATTAAAAAAATTAATGATAGAAAAAATTAATCATTAAAATACGATAATGTTTGAATAAATTTTCTCAAAAAAATTGAAAATATTTACATAAATTTTTTAAAATTAATTTTAAGTGGGTAATTATATTGTTTAAAGTGGCAAGTCAGTGATACTCAAAATTAATTTTTCAAATTGAACAAATTTCAACTTATCTTAAATAGAATTGTTGAAGCCAAACGGGATATGGAAAAATTAACGTGTTTGGATAAAAAATTTTAAAACTATAATTTTAAACTCATAAATAATTTTGAAAGTGTATCCAAAAAGGTCTTATCTCCTTATTTTTATAGTTGATTATATGAATTGTGTCAATTCTTTAAAACATGTCATTTATCAATACATTATATTTAATAGAATTGGTTTAAACCAAGATCGTAGTGTCTTACGTGACATTATTAGGATAATTCATACATAAATTTAATTAATTTAAATTTAGAATCCCATTTTCAAATATTTTTTAAAGTTATTGAGCTCAGCATTTTAAAATGAAAGGATTTAAAACATAGGAAAGCATTAATGCTAATTAAAATAATTCAATAAAAAATAATAACCTGTACTGTGCATTTTACAATGGCAACTATCATTAAAGGCTTGTCCTACAGCTAATGTACCCTTAGCTGTAATCAAGTGCCACAATCCTATTCACCGCGACATATAATACTATTTGTCATAGTGAATAAAGCTTTCCATGACAACATTGTTTTTTTATCATGACAGCTTTCAATGGCAAACTTTTGGAGTACGCTATAACTTTATCTTATGTTTAATTAAAGTGATTTAAATACCAATACAAAAGCTTAATTAATCATCTAGCTAACAGCATTGATTTCATCATAGATAATATTTCATTTAGAAATTGTATGCTTGAATGCGAAATGGTCACTTTTCTAAAATAAAGTACAATTCAAGTGTTTCACGATTTCAATCATTTGTCATTAGCCTCAATCGAGGCTCGAATCATGTTCAACTAGACTAACAAACATTTGATTGATTAATTATATATATAATTATACAATTCAAGCAGGTTCTTGCCATTCAAACCCCTAATTACTCAAAACAGGATCAAATACCTGAAGCATTTTAGGCTATAAAAGTGATCACATCATAACATTAAAATAATTATCTATCAACAAGTATTTATATTAACATTTTAGTGTACTAACATAACCATATCTCAAAGTACATATCCAGACCAAAATACAACCTCATTAGACACATCATGTGAGTACAATCAAGAATATGTGCATATCATAGTTGGCAATGCACATGTATACACGTATATATCATTTACACATCACAAGATCAGGGTGATACAAAACAAGCAATATGAAACTACTCGTTGCTCGCTCGTCCCCCTTGCTTCTACCAGCAATATCACCTGTAACACAGTAACCACACAGTGAGACAAAATTCTAATAACTAAATAATCTAAAATGCATATCTCCAAATCAACATGTAAACAAGTAAGTAAAATGAAATAGCATAATATATATTCGTAGTAAACAAATAAATAAATATATAATAACCTATATGTGCACAATTGTTGTTTTAGGTTTCAAAACTATAATTATACTTAAATCTACCATTTCACAAACTTATAAATAATTCAATATGCAGACAAACAGATTAGATTATTTAGTTATCTCGACTCTTTTATTATTGAAGATGTTACTCATGAAAATTATTGCTCTTCACACTTTTAATTGCTCAAAACACACTTGAGCCACGTTAATTTACAAAGTTAAGCATTACATGTTAATTTTATAATTTAATATAAGCACTTAATAACACAGTTAAGTTAACCTAAGTTACTAATTTTTATTGTTGGACTTCTAAGCCCTAATTAACCTCTCAAGCTTCACACAACTTCCATTAAACCAAGAGAAACTAGGCCAGATAAGGAGAGTAAATATGTACAAGGCTCACCCAAAGAAAACAAGTCAAAAGTAGCTCTTAGGTGCTCAAACCCTTTTGCCTTAGCACAGCCTTCCTCTTCTTCTCCCTTTTACCGCACTTTTCCCTTCCTTTCCTCTCTATCTCACGTCCAATTTAAGAGCTATTCAAGTAAATTTAGCAAATGGCTCAGTTGGGCCATGTGAGATTTAAACCATCAATTAGGCCATCCCATATTAGCTCCATTCAAGAGCTCTCCGAACATCTAAATAAGTCCATTAGTGAATCCGTAAGCACAATTAAATCATAACTATACTCATTAATGATCCCTTATTAGTTCATAATGTTTTGAATTAGAACATTTGAAATGTTACAAAACTTCATTCAAGCTGAGCTTATTTAAATTGAGTTTTAAATATATGAACATATAACAAATTATGAGTATACATCAGGCTTTAAAATTTAATCAGGATGGGTATTCATTTTTAAATTTTATTTTATTTATTTTTTAAACCAATTTTAAATTTTGTCTTAAAATGTTAAATTTTCCAAATAGCATAACACCAAAACTGCACTTTTTTTTCCCATTCTTATTAAAGTGATATCAAAGATTAAAATCAAATAGTAAAAATGAATGCATATGATTATGAAATAACTTCTTGGGTTTATTTTTTTCTTCATATATTCAAAACGAACAATTATCAAAACATTAAATCTTCTTTCAGAGATGCAAAATGTGAGAATATGGAGTTTAGGGAGGGTTTGTGAGCATTAAATGGAAGTTGAGGTGAAGGTTAGTTTCATTTTATTAATAATAAAGGAGAATTTGATTGTTAGGACTAAGCTCATTCAAGTTTTGATTTTGCTCAAATTTTTCTGAGCTTATTGGAGGTGGCATAAATAATCCTGATAAATAAAAAAAATTAAACTCATAAGTTCGATCCTAGGATTTTTTACTTATTTAAATTGGCCTATCAAGTGTCCAGTATTTGATATTTTCGTACCTATTTTTCTTTATATTTTATTTTTTTTAGTTTCATAGAATTAAGAAAGACCGTATTCTCCATCATCTTGCCAGCTTCAATTTACCAACCTTCTTGTTTGGATATTATACAATCAAAGATTTTTTTTTAAAAAAAAGTGGACAGAGATTAGAGGGCTCTACGTAGCTAACAATTCAAATTTGTAAAACTTACAATTTATTTGAAATTATAAAAAAATTATAATATAATATCTCACATACTTTATAACTTTTTGTGGATGCGAATGGTAGATTGGGCTGAAATTCAAATTTCGTAGTGCTGTATTATTGCACACCAGAGCGAGATAAGAATATTTTACAATTATATATCATTATATCGCATCGGTTATGAATGCCTGCCAGCGTCGGATTTGTCAAGTTCAGCAGCGTCAAGGTCGCCCCCATGTGCTGCGCAACGAGTTTATACAATATACATTCCCTCTCATCTCATTTATGAACACAATTTAAAAAATTTATTTAATTTTATTTATAAATTATGATTTTTTAAATAACATTTTTAAAATCACCTGAAAGAAAAAAATAATATAATATTACTTTTAAAATTTATTATATAAGAATATATTTAAAATTATATATATTTTCATTCATTGTATTTTTTATATTGATATTAATGAGATGGATAAAAATAATTTATAAAAAAGACCGAATAAATATACATTAGCTGTATCTCATGTAATAACATATCAATATACGCTTTTTGGTTCAGCCAAAATACACACAAACACATACT